AACCAATGCAGACTGGGTCATAAAGAATGCTCTTCCATGTTGACTACTTCATCAGTTTAGTTCCCGAAAGATGGCAAACAAGGAGGACATAGGACGGGGGATTTTTCCGACATGTTCATTCAGAGCGTGAGCAACCAGTTCACCTCAGTCTTTACGGTAGTTTTGAGAAAGCCATCCCTCATGGCTGTCGAGCTTCAGATCGACTATGGTAAACATGTCAGCCTGGCGCAGCTGTTCGATTTCCACGGTTGAGTCTTTAGCCTGTAATTTCCTACAGAGATGACGGGAGAGATTTTTGGCAGTCTCCATGGTTCATGATTGACTTTTACCACTCGACCCTACGAGCCGAGTTGTAAGCCAAGGACTTTGAGATCCCAATCACGCCGGTCCAACGAATTCTGAGGATATATGGGTTGAGGATGTTGTCCAATGTACCTAACAATAGAATCCACTTTCCACCACCCCCTGGTGCGAAAAAGAAGTTTAAGGGGGCCCCTCCGTGAGCGGAGTCTTCTTGGAAAACACGAAAATTCAAAGCTGACTAAAAGAAAACCCACGTTTCACTAGTCCACTAGCACCCATGGCGAAGATCAGCGGATCTTTGAGGAGTGGGAACATCACGTAATTGAAAACGAAGAAGGCAGAAGCAACATTGTATGAAGTCAAGACAAACAGAACTGCAGCGTAGGTGATCACTATGCTGTCATATTGAACCATTTCAATGTTGCGAACCTGGAAAAAAAAGAAAATTCTCAACAACATGTAGGAAAAGAAAACAAAAGCATTGGGGTCTTATGATTTAAGAGCAAAGCCTAAATAAGTATAGAACTTCCTTCACAACATACCTTAGTTTTGTCGGCAAAATAGGTATGAGCCGTACATCCAACAATTAGCATGGGCAAGACATACAGTGGAGCAACTATTTCAGGGAGTTTATACCTGAAGTGAACATAAGCCAACAGTGGTGCCTTCGAAATTGAAGCAAAAAGCACGTGTAAGAAAAACTGACCAGCACATCACAAGATCGAATTTGAGCACGAGCACTACCACTACCACCATAGTCAGGACCATGGCGACAAAAGTACATATATGATGAAAGAAAGCCTGACCGAGATCACTGAATGTATAAGCGCCGGATCGAATCCGGAATGCAACTAAGGCAGCGACCAGAAGACAAGCACCATAATTGAGTATTTGGCCTGAAGTAAAAACTGTACACATTTAAAACGAGAAAAATTCGATCTCTCGTCGGACTTTTGGGAGCTGTTCATCCCATAGAGACATTGCGTTGAGGTCTGTCAACTCCTCTCATTTCCAGGTCAAGTCTTCTTTGGTTGACCATTCAGGGCGGGTAAGTGAAAAGAAACGATTGTGAGCAAGAGAATGAGGATTTTGGCATTAGTCAAAAAACAGCAGCTCCAGTGTGAGCGAGCTCCAGCGTGCGCAAAAAGGGTTTGGAAATGAGACATAAACACTTCATGACTTCATGAGAGCTCAAGAAACGTCCCCAGAAAGAACAGCACAGCCTTACAATTCAGGCACGAACTCACCTACGCTAACCGTATAGAAAATGGTGAAAAGGCCGACCACGTCGTAGAACACCCATTTATTTGCCTCGTCAAACGATGCCGCTTGAACGAGATATGGACTCTTCAGTATGGCGCGCACAACAGCAAGAACATTTTCACCGGCTCTGAAACAGGTTGGTATATGGGATTGTGAGGTGGTAGAGGAAAAATCCATCCCATAGGACAACCAATGAAACAACGCGCACATGACGAGCGGACCAGGAACTTGCATTTCATCTGTCTTGCAGCCGTCTCTAACCGGCACTCACAGCGATCTACAGCTTATCAGCTACGATTAGTTCAGGATTCCCCTCCGAGCAAGGAAGGCAGAGTATACAAATAGACTTATTTAGTGGTCTCCTGGTTTGACCGCATTCTCATTACGCTTATTTTTTCTCTGCTGAATTGGACCGATTCCCGGAACGGTGGCGAAAAGAGCAAAAAAACCTTACTTTCTCATTATCAATGCCTGGTCACATGTCGCCCAACAGTCTTGCAGAAATTGCGGGAAGTCGGCCGTACAATTCTACTCCATCTAGTGTATTTGACAGACCTTGCCCCGACGGAATACCATTGCTTTACCCTAAAGACAGACACCGCGCTCAAGCAATTTGTGGTCTTCCTACCTTGTGCAAGTAGTCCAGACCGCAAATTTTATGATTGTCCCACTATCGCGACTCCTCAGCAAGTGAGGAGGGCGCTACACCGACGAAAGTTCTAGCTGTGACATCCGTCGGACCGCCCACCCAACGAAGGTCCTCGTCATAACCAGAGGCGCTCAGTCGTTGTTCGTTGGAGCGGCGGGCATAAGCTCGAATTGCGAGTCCATTTTTGCCGACCGCGCTAGTGGTCATTTCTCCCCTTCTTTATTACTTTTTCTTCATTAGTAGCATATCCAATCAACAAATTCATCTCGCAAGGAAAGACGCCCGATTCGGGCCCTGTCCATACCAACAAAGCCTTCTACCCTATGGGGATGGCAGACTAGTACCAGATTCGTCTGGGAAGATAACAACACTGAATTATATATAGACCGCCCCCTGCAGATTATTCTATGGGCAACATCGTATTCAATAAGTCACTGCGATGGAAGCAAAATGCATGCAGCATCCCAAAAATCGATCGATTAACGGCGAAAACTTTATCGCTATCAGGAGATTGATTTAGCTCGACACCAAGATTGTTAAGAAGTCTTTATTCGGCTGACGTTTCGGCGTCGTCCCGTCCAGAGCCTGGAAAGCCGGAAGACATTTTCGAAACTACTCATCCAACACTATTTCAACCTACAGGAAAAGTTCAAAAGGGGGTTGTAAGCTACTGTGATGATGTCATGGGAACAATAAAAAAATGTACAGTAATCAATAGTATGAGGTTACACGGGGCCAGTGCGGGTGGCCTGGAGTGACCTTTGGAGGAGTTTGATCTACACGATCAACCCTCGGGAGGTCCCTCAGGAAAGTGACCTGGAGGCCTACCTATTTAAGCCGCTTTACTATTAGGTTGTTCGAAAAGTCCTGCGACACTTTGATTGAATTGTTCTAGAAAAAGACCAAAAATCATTTTGGATGTTTTTATCCCTGATTAGTGGAGACTGTCCTCTGGGGTTTCTGCACATGGGTATATCATGACTTTGTGGAAGTTTTCAAAGCTTAAAAGTCCCTCAGAGATCGAGGTACTTTTCGACCTATCCCATATTATGAGTTCCTGTAGGGCCACTCCGCCGTAGTCGAGGAAGCTGACACCTACGTTGTCTTGAGGAAGGATATCGCTTGCCATGGCAGAGGGTAGCTTTTGCATCAGCGCTTCCAAGCTGGACTTATTTAACACGTTGACGACGAGCCATTTTTCCCATGACTTGCGCCTGGGACGGCATTTTTTCTACACTGAAACTTAGTAATTTCCAAATAAATGAATTACTACGACCAAAATGTATCGAGAAATATAGCAATCTCGAATCTTTGACACAATTTAGCTCTTATTGCTCCAATCTTCCGAAATCAGGCCATTTTACCAAATTCTTCCTCTGGAGACAGAATTGATTGAAAATTTGTCTCCCCAGGTGGTTTGATCTCCTAAAGAACAATATCGCATCCCTCGACCCGAAAATGTTTGTTCTTGAACTAATTTTATGAAAAGAAAGTGAAACAATCGCGCAGATCTTGAGTTATATAATAACTGTGGGACAGCATTGGGCGACGCCGTTCCACAAGACAAACTTTCTGTCGTCCACCATTGACGGAAATCGTCGTCAACGCGTTAAGTGGACATGATATTTTTGTTGAGGGGGTCGGTTCACCGGTAGGGACAAGTTTTCAGGGAATTTGATGATCTAGGACATTTTGGCGCGGGCGCCAGGCAGTTTTGTGGCAAGTGATTGTGATATTCGTGAGCTAACCGACGGGACAAGTTTTCAGCGATTTTGGTGACCTAACGTATTTTGGCGCCGGCGCCTGTGGCGCGGGCGCCAGGCATTTTCGCGGGAAACGAATGTGATATTCGTGTTCAGGGGCTCAAGCTACCCCACGAGACAAGTTTTCAACGATTTTGGTGACCTAAAGTATTTTGGCGCCGGCGCCTGTGGCGCGGGCGCCGGGCAGTCCGGGCCAAACCACTGTGCTGTTCGTTTCAGAATTTCAGCCTACTCCTATAGACATCTTTTGAACAAACTTGGTTGCTCGC